AGTGTCAATAGTCATCCTGGCAGAAGGGATTATTTCTTCCATATAAAAATATAACTATTACATGGGTACACAAGGGCCTGTGTATTAGCATAGGTATGTTAATTACAGATTTTTGTTTTATATAAGTTACATGTGATAGTTAGATATAATCATGACATATTTAAACATTATCTGAATTCATATTTATAGTACTTTTACTGAGATAATCAAAGTAAACTCGTAATTCAGTTACGCATTGACTGGATTTTCTATGCCATTTTTAACTGCTTTACAACATTATTTTTAAGAAGTACATACAAAATGGGTAAAACTAAGTTTACATTACAATAGTTTTTGCTTTTACAGTCCTGTTAGTATTTTACGGAGTGGGCTATTTTTTATTTCTAATCTTGATTTTTAGTTGTTGTAGTACTATCTGAGGAGTTACTTGACTCAATTTTCCGGTGCCTTAGCTGAATTGCTTGGAAAAGTTGCAACTGTTATTCAAGTTGTAGTGCCTATCAAGGGAGTATATTTTTTACTGTTCAATTACTTGGATATTACTGCAAGAAACAACAAGTACTGTAGTGTTTTTAACACTGATTACCAATAAGTATTTGGACATCTATGCAAATGACGATATCTGCGGTCCTAAGGTACGTCACGGACTCCGCCGGTATATATCGTGTAGGAAACAGCATCGGCTTTAGTCGCATGCAAGATGCCTCACAGTTCGAGCTCTCTGATTTCGAGAAAGGTATAATTATCGGGTATCACAAATGCGGCCGATCCTTAAAGGACATATCTAGCGATCTGAAGTACCCAAAATCAACAGTGGCCTATGTGATTAAGAAGTGGAAGGTGAGCGGTCATTGTCTGAATGTGCCCCGAGTCGGCAGATCAACGAAACTGGGAGATAGAGACAAACAAGTGCTGTCCAGAGAAATTCGGAAGAACCACACCCAACCGATGGCCCTCATCCGCGAGGAGTTTCAACAGGCATGCGGGAGTATTGTTTCAATGAATACCATCCGTAAGGAAGCACATCTACTTGGTTTTCATGTTCGTGCTGCTGCCCATAAGCCTTTGATCAGAAAGTCCAACCGCGCTGCTCGGTTAATGTGGTGCAAAGCACATCGAAATTGGACCGTAGATCAGTGGAAACGGTTTCTTTGGAGTGACGAATCAAGGTTCACACTTTACCGTTCGATGGCAGGGTCTGGGTCTGGCGTGTACCTGGAGAACGTCTCCTGCCAGAATGTATTGTGCCAACAGTCAAGTTCGGTGAAGGTGGAATTATGGTCTGGGGGTGTTTCTCCTGGTATGGGCTGGGGCACTTGGTCCCCATTCATGGTAATCTCAACTGCACTACTTTGGATGACAATGTGCTTCCTACGTTGTGGCAGTTTTACAGGTTGGACCTCTGTTACTTTCAGGACGACAATGCCAGTTGTTATGTTTCGATGTTAACCAAGGCTTGGTATGGTGCCAAAGGAGTTCATCGAATGGACTGGCCTGCCCAGAGTCCAGACCTGAACCCTATCGAGAACCTCTGGGACGAGTTGCATCGCCGAATTCAGGGGTGCAGTACCCGTGCAAAATCGGTGAAGGAACTTCTATGTCTTCTCCAAGCCGAGTGGAAGAAAATACCACTAGCTGTCATACAAAGACTTGTGGAAAGTATGCCCTGGAGGGTCCACGCTGTAATTACCTCTCGTGGAGGTTCTACCAACTATTGATTTTGAAAGAAGTTAGTTTTTCTTTTCTATCACAGGTGTCCAAATACTTATTGGTAGTCAGTGTATAAAGACATACATAATGTACTGTAAATGTTGTAAGTATATATTTGTTTTTATGGCAGGTACTAGCTTTTTTAGGCTTTGGTTACTACTAGGGCTCCAAGCAGTGATCATTTTATTATGGAGGCACCTAATAGCCGGCTACCGTTACCTCCTATGAAAGAACAGACAATTTAAATCAGTGTCTTCTCCGGGATTCGAACCCGGTTCCTTTGGTACGGCAGCCAGAGTCACTAACTACTTTTCTGTTTTGGACGGCGTATGTGTATACTGTGTAAACGGTCAATGTCTAGAAAAAAGTATTTAAAAAACAAGAGGTCGCTTAAATACAGAACCAAGGATTCACCTGAATATATCATCAACTAACTAAAATAGAATGTCGTATTAAGCAAGTATATATTATTCATATTATGTTTTAAGCATTACGGCTCGTTTTAGTTAATAAAATTAAACTGAAATTGTTTTCTGTGATGAATAATAAAAATTTTAAAAAAAATATATATATATGTGAAAGCTTTCAGATTTTACAAAGGACTTTTTTTTAACATTTTTGTGTTACCTTTATTTATTAAATATCGTATTTTCGCACTTAAACCATAAAATTCAATTTAACAGCAATATCGCAAAATAATTTTAAAATGAGCATATCTTTAGAATTTTTGATACACAGTCTCGCGCGCTGCATATAATTTTTTTTCGTACAATGTTGCCATTCCTCGCTTTGAAATCGTTGAGTTTATTACTCGAAAATTCTTTAATGTCTGCAAAATATGAAATAGATAATAAAACAAATTCCAAATTCGGGCGTCCAGGTGTCCATATTCGGTGGAAGACTACGTTGTTCAAAATTTGACAGCTCTAGGTACCGTTGTTTTATAACAATGCGAGAAACATACAGTGTCTCACAAAAGTGATGGGACACATGTGCTTTACGAAAGGAAATTGTAGTAAAATAAATTTAAAAAACATGTAAATTTTTTTTGTGGGTGTGTTTTCATACTTAAATTTAGTAACAATTATTACATAACATACATTTTCTCAAAATATTAAAATAGTAATTTAATAAAAATACAATTATTTAGAACGGAGCAAAAAATGGCTCACATAAGTGATGGGACATTTACTTTTCCATCAATTATTTATCCAAAAATTTTACTTCTTAAAATGTTTTAATATTTTGTTGAATTTCCTTTTACTTTTAAAACGTGATTTAATCTTCTTGGGATGGATTCGACTAATTTTTTTGTGATTTCTGGAGTGATTTTACCCCATTCTTCTTGAAGCACCGATTTTAATTGTTGTTTTGAAGAAATGGCGTGTTTGCGAATTCTTGATTCCAATTCTTGCCAAATATTCTCTATGAGATTTAAGTCTGGAGATTGTGGTGGTGTTTTTATTATTTCAGGACACTTATACAGCAGCCAGAGTCTAACGTTCAAAGCAGTTTGCTTGGGGTCATTGTCCTGGTAGAATTTAAAATCGTTATGAAGGGTCAATTTTCGTGCTGAAGATTTCAAATTTTGATTTAAAATGTCAATATACTTGTACTGATCCATTATACAGACAATAAAAACAAGATTACCGACTCCAGCGGACGACATACACCCCCACCCCATAACTCCTCCTCCACTATGTTTTACTGTTGGCGAAATTCTTTCCTGGGTTTTCTCTACACCAAGATTCTACCGTCAAAGCCAAATATATTAAATTTACTCTCATCAGCAAATATAATTTCATTCGAGTAATCAGAGTTCTTATTTATGTTGGATTTTGCGAAAGCCAGTCTGAGTTTTCTATTCTTTTCACTTACGAAGAATCTTTTCCTGGCTGTTCTACCGTGATATCCAGCAGATCGAATTACTCTTCTAATAGTCTCAGGATTAACAATTATTCCATATAATGCTTGTAAATCAGTAGCAACTTCAGAAGCACTCATTCTTCGATTTTTTTTAATATTTTGAACAATAATTCGCTTTATTCCATTGGATAGCTTTGATGGTCGGCCAGGTCTTCTTTTATCCTGAATCATATGATTCTTTTTATATCGTTTAATGATATTGAAAACTGTTGAATGACTCATGTTAACTGTTTCAACAGTTTCTCTAATATATTTTTCACGTTCAATATGCAAATTAATAACTAATTTTCGAATTTCAGGGAAAGTTTCTTTTCGTTTAGCATTCATGGCTGCACAGAGCAAAAAAAACACAAAAATTCCAAAACAAACTGGAGAGGAAGACTGCAGACGTTTTTATAAATTATTGCTAATTGCTTTTGAGTAAAAATAAAAACCCCCAAAAATATTTTTATTATAGTACGTAGTAGTATCTAATGGTGTCCCATCACTTATGTGAGACATTTTTTGCTCCGTTCTAAGCATTTGTATTTTTATTAAATTACTATTTTAATATTTTGAGAAAATGTATGTTATGTAATAATTGTTACTAAATTTAAGTATGAAACACACCCACAAAAAAATTTATTTATTTTACTACAGTTTCCTTTCGTAAAGCACAAGTGTCCCATCACTTTTGTGAGACACTGTACATATATTTATGCAGATTCTTCTTTATTTAATTTCTTTAAATATAATGCAGGGCTGTAATATTTGGTGGCAACACTTTGAAAAGTGAATCAACGCAAATTGCCGAAACGAAATTAATAGTCCTTCTGGGCTAATAAAATTTGAATATCCAGTTAACAGAAATATTTTAATGCGAACTCTTGATTTGCCGATCCCTGGAATTCATGTTAGCAATGGTTTACTATATTGCTTTAATTCAAGAAGAAAATGAACGGAAAATTTTAACGATAACTTCTTCGTGTTGTTAGCAATCTCAATCTTCCTACTGCAGTTTTTTTTATTTATATAAATACTAAATATAAACGAAATAGCCAGAGAAAACGAGGTATTATCTCTTTTTTTTTTCTTCTCCAGGCTTATAACGGTTATTATACGTAGACAGCGGCTGAGAATAAGAAATAGAAACGGAGCAATAAATTCTCTGTTAGACGCTTACCAAAAGTGGTAAAAATATCACTAATAAAGAATAACATGAATCCGGAACAATAAAAGTGACTACTTTCAGTTTTAGTATGTTCAACCCACAGATTTCTTCTACCTGAGTTCATAAATATTACAGCAACCCTATTGAATCGCGCCAATGGAAAGCGGTTAAGTTGAATCCGTCTGAAATGGTTTTTCCCCCCCTCTTGAAAATGGTGTTGCCAGTCCGAAATCCAGAAAACCCAATGAAGGAACATCGTTGCCTATAAAAACTCGGTCACTGTTCCTCAAAGTTCTCATTCCAAATTTGAACTTAGTAAGGTTCTGCAAAGGCTGAATATCATTCAAAACCATAACAGGGAGGAGGTAGGTAAACTTACTTCTTTTGCAATTTTAATGAAAGCTTTTTTTTTTTTCGGTGAAATTTCTATTTCTCATTGTTATTTTCTATATCATTGGATATATTTGAATTTTAAACTCTTATAATTATAGAACGAAAAATATAGAAAATATTTACATAATTCCCTAGACTAATATGAACATAACTCAGTTTGAATATATTACGTTTAAGTCTTCCAATAGAGTCAAGTATTAAATATAGGGTTATACATTGCTCATTTTGATATCTCATTATGCCGTAATATCTGCATAGTCTTTAAAGCAAAAATGATGACTCAACACCCACTGTTCTAGGACATTTCAAGGTTATTATTGCAAATTCAACTAAGGTTTAATTTTTTAAATGATTTACATATAAACGTATCGGCTTTGGAAGATAGATAACGTTTTACTAGCAGATTATTACATTATTGCTATGACCATTTGCACATAGCTTTGGAAGCTAGTTAACGGTTTCCCAGCAGTTTATTATAGCATTGTTGTGACTTAATCATTTGCACATAGTCAGATCTAGTCTTAGTATATCATTGTAAATGCATTTTGATAATAATATGCCTCTAGAAACTAAAAGGAAAAACTGAAACTTTTGCCTTGAATTTTTGTGAATTTTCCTATTTGTAACGTAAGTATGTCGTAGCGGCCGCCCAGTCGGTATAGTGGTCAGGGAAGGTGACTGCGATGCCAAAGGGCCTGGGTTCGAATCCCGGAGAATGCATGGTTGTAACTGTCCGTCCCCTTCATAGGAAAGGCGATGGTGGCCCACCTATTAGGTGCCTCCATAATAAAGAGACCACCACATCCGGCCTTGTATAGATTAATGGACTGGGTTACATTTGTAATTGTTCACAATCTGCCATTGGGGGGAAAAAGTATGTGGTAGTAAATTGCTCTTGATAGTTTTACTCGTATACTCCATGGGTTTCACAGACATCAATGATGCTGTATAATATTAAATGATGAATTTCTGTGAAGTTACACAAGAGGAATTCAGCATTGTTTCTCATGTATGAAACATGCATTCATTTGAAGATCTGAGGCAGCTATTGGACAGTAACAGTGCTATATTTCTTTGAAAACTTTTGGGACTCCTAGTCGATTTAAAAAACAAAGACACTCGAATACATCACTTGTTGAAATATCCCAAATCATCCACGATTACGTAGAAGTTAATGAGCAGAATATTAGTTTGGTAGAGCTTCAAGCTTTAAAATACTATATACATCATGACAAATAGATTTCAGTTCCTCTGTTGAAATATGAATCCGTCGTATTATAAGGTATTTCTCCCACTTCCCTAGCGTGCCTTCGTGGTGTAACGGTAGCACGCTGGGCCGGTATTCCAGAGGTCCGTGGTTCGATTCCCGGTGAAGGCGTTTGCTATTTTTCATCCTTTCTGCCCCTAAAAAATATACCTAATGTCTCTACAAGTGGCGCCCGAACTAAAAGGGTTGTGGATGAGGATTCTCCGCACTCAGGATTTGGCGACTAGGTCCCCTAAAAAGGGAAATATATAAGGTATTTCTCCCACTTCCCTAGTGTGCCTTCGTGGTGTAACGGTAGCACGCTGGGTCGGTATTCCAGAAGTCCGTGGTTCGATTCCCGGCGAAGGCGGTTGTTAAGTTTTTCTCTCTCCAGCTTCCAAAAATTATAATGTCTCTACAGTGTAAATAAAATATTGTACGAACAACCTAGTGCAAAAATACGTACAAATGTTTCCTTGTTTGTTTGTCTACGGGAAGCAGTACGCCCACCTGATTACAAATGGTTCTATGGCTTAATTAGGCTGCCTAGTTCCAGGTGAAAACACAGTACACACACTAAAATAGAATTCCCGCTATTGATCAATTCTTATTAATATCATTCATAATAATTTTTGATAGACTTCTTGTCTCGCCAAAATTTAATAAAAATCCATCTCACCTTAAAAGTTTCATTTATGATAAAATATTCCTTACATTTGTTAAAAGTGAGTAGGTGTTCACGAAGAGTTTAGCATCTTCAGTTTCATTATAGCTGTCGCAAAGATCGAACTCTTGAAAATTAAATCCTTTAAAGTATGCAGGAAAACGACCATCACCCGTCAAAATCAAAATTTGATTTAATTCTGTGTTACCAATGTTTTTTCTTTTTTGTTATTCCCACTCTTATATAGCTTTTATTTTTGTCGGATATTTTCCATTTTCTTTCCACCATTTGTAGATATAATTCTTTAATTCGGCCTTCCTGTTTGACCCCTGCTATGACTCAAAGATTTCAGTGCCATTTTGTGTAATTGCCTCTTTGGCCAATTCATCCGCCCTGTCATTTCCAATAAATCTCGCATGTGCTTTTATCCAATTCATATTAATTATATGCCTCCCCAGGAGATCAAAATAAAGTTCTTTTATATCTAATATCAGTTCATTTGTTTGGCCCAAGCAGGAGAGTGCGTGTAAAGTTGATAAACTCTCCGTGTGTACATTGACTGTACTCCATTTGTACAGGATAGATTCACTCTAATACATTCATATTAACAGAACAAATATTTGATAGCGTCCTTGCAACATGGTGTATATGTAACACCGCTGCAAAACTGAGGAAATCCTTTATGTAATACGATAAATCTGAAATACGGTTTCGCTGTACTTTTCGCACCTCTTTTCTACTTTAGACTTAAGAAGGTTTAAACATGTATTAGCAAACGTCTTTTATTAAAGAAATGCTAAAATTATTATTATTACCATTAACCCAAAGGACGTTAGCCCAGAGGGGCTATTAATTTCGTTTTGACATTTTCTGTTGCTTCACTGTAAATGTCGGTTGACTTTTCAAATTGTTGCCACCAAATACCAGAGCCTTGTATTATATTTAAAGAAATTAAATAATGAAGAATCTGCGTAAATGTATGTATGTTTCTCGCATTGTGATAAAACAACGGTACCTAGAGCGATCAAATTTTGAATAACTTAATCCTCCTGCGAATATCGCCTTCGGAAGTCCAAATTTGGAATTTGTTCTATTATCTATTTCATATTTTGTTAAACTTTAACCGAATTTTTGATTAACATCTGATCTGATGTGTACACCACATGACTTCCTTGTACGGAATATTAAATTATACGCATTTTTCTTGCATTTCATTTAAAATTATTGCATTGAATTAAATCTACTTCGCCGACATCGCATAAACCACAATAGAATAAATGCATTCTTTAAAATTCACTCTAGTATTTGTTTACCATAGCGACACTCTGGCGCTAGATTCACTTAAAAATTATTACTGTAACTAAATTTGTATTACTGTCAGTTTGCGCGCAGTGCTTCAGTGCAAATTTTAAATTTTCGAAAAATACTGTTAGTTTTTTCTTTATAAAAGAAATTCTTATACACTATTAAGTAAAATAAATAAAGAAAGATAATCATCTATGTATAAAGATGACACACTGAAAATTTCATATATGACAAAAACAATTTGACTTATTAAAACTCGAAAATCAGCTAAAATTCTCACTTTTTGTGTTGCGCAAAAGTGTTGACTCCACTTCAGTATTATATTTCGTTCATATTATAACTCATAATGCACAAAATTTATATCATTTAAATAATAGAATTATCTAATCGTTGCCACATGTTCTATTCAAATACTATAATAAAGCTAGAATGATGTATAAAAGAAATTAAGCAAACAAAACAAAAAAAGAAACAGTTTTTCACAGACGATTGAGTATTTCTCATTTAATTAATTCAGTTCTCACTTCGCGAGAAGGCAAAAATACATAAAAACTCAAAATATCTATATTAAAAATTACGAAGTAAATCTGAAACACATATTTCCTCGATAAAATTCCAGAAATGATTAAGCATGATTTAATTGACAATAATAAATGAAGGCGTTATCTTTGTTGTTACGAAGCTAAGTTTCTCTAGATTTTCAACAAATCCACTAGTCTCCTGTTTCAAATGCAAACATTAATGGCCGCCATTAAAAACAGGCTTAGCGGCAATTAAACAACTTTAAAATTGCTGATAATTCTAAAAATATTGCACACAGATTTACTAAAGTTATAAAATCCTTAACCGGAAGATAAAAACAACATAATTCAATCATTTTCAAAGCAAAAAATGTACAATTTACCAACATATAAGAGTAAAGAAACTGAGATCACTGAGCCGAGTAACAGAATGGATATATATATATAAATATATTTATATACGTTTGGTGCGGCCGATTTCAACCAAAATACGAGGTGCACATCTACATGTTATAGCAGTCCTATATACAAAATTTCAACGTTCTGAGGCTACTCGTTTTTGAGTTATGCGAGATACGTACGTACGCACGAACGTACGCACGAACGTACGCACGAACGTACTTACGTACATACGTTCGTACAGACGCCGCGAAAAATTCTCTTCAGAATTAATTTTAAAGCAGTTTTATAATTTTTTTGGAGGAAAATGGTTTTTTATTCTGTCCTTACGTACAGATGTCACGCAAAAACATCGTTAAATTGCTTTCGATAGCGGTCAAAATGGATATTTTCGTTGAAATATGCGCCTGAACCTTTTCGCGATTACAATACTTCCTTTTTACTTCGTACAAGGAAGTAAAAATTCATTTTTATGCATCCAGTGTATGTATCCAGTGTATGTACTGTGTATCGAAAATTTAAAAGATATGCTCATTCTAAAATTATTTGGCGATATTTCTGTTGAAATGAATTTTACGGTTTAAGTGAGAAGAATGTGATATTTAATAAATAAAGTTAACGCACAAAACGTAGAAAAACAACCCTTTGGACGTAATGTAAAACCTGAAGGCTTTCAGATTTTTATATTATTATTATTGATTAAATTGTAGACTTCATATACACCTGAAAAAAATTAAAAAGTGGTCTGTGAAAGGTATTTCATTTCCCTGTAGCTAAAAGTATAAATTTTGGGCTACCTTAAAAAGTCAAAAATTATTAGGAGTGACCGCAGCTTAG